AGTCATAACTCACGCCTAATTAAATTTTAACCATTCAGTTGTTTATTGTTCAGCACGTGTCTGGAACGGGTCCCATGAAGAACTGTATTCATGGGATCTTAAGCCCCGTGTCATCCATTTGTATTTTTCCCTCAGGCAACAACTTTTTTTTTTTTCAGTTGTTTTCTGTAGTAGCTCCCAACTTTAAAAATGGCAGCAGTTTAGTAAGCCACTGAGCATCTGTTTAAAGCAGGGTGATGAATTGTTGATTCAATTGAGATTGAAGAGGTTGATTTTTCTGCATTCTTGTTACATGAAGCACAGCTTTAGACAACATTTATTGGTGGCTGTTTCAGTGGGCTACTGTTAGCTGTAAAGGAATGGAGAAAGCTGGTATATGATTATTCAAGAGCAAGTTGTCAGCCTGTACATGAATATCTACATCAGCACTTAGACCATCGGACTTTAGCATTAACTCAACAGCAAAATGTTAGGTCATGCTTTATTTTAAGGAACTATTCTTGCTGTTGACAAACCATTGGTTAAGACCTTAAGCTAATAAACTACACATTTTCTGCTTAGTATACTTTGTAAGGTAGTAGTTTGGTTTAGGTATTGTATATGTACTTCAGAATATGTACTTTATTATAACCAATATCTTAATAATATGCCAGGAAAATTCCAGAAGTTGATAGTTAGAAAAGTTTGTTTTGCACATCATAGAGATGCCATTAGCACATTGGATTATTTTAATTGTAAGATCAAACTGGTTAGTTTGTTTGCATTTTGACACAGGACACAAAGCAAATTCTGCTCTTTTTGGCTTTGTGGCTGTTCATCAAGACGATGGCGACAAAGGTTTTTGTTAGACCTCCAGTCGACCTTGGCTCCTTATTATATGTATATAATATTATGATGTAATGTCCTGGCTGTGTATTAAAAAGTGGTGCTTTTTTGTTTTCGTTCTCCTAGCTTGTGCATGCACTAGTTATGTTTCTCTGTAAACCAATAACGTTCAGCTCTGCCTTAAGGTATCCTTTTGTTGTGCTAGGTACCCTTCGGAAAGGGTACTCAAAAAGGGTACAGTATGGTACTTCTTGAAAGTGGAAAGTGGCATAAAAGCGTATCGTATACCACTCAGTGGAAATGGGCCATTAGATAATGCTTTGTTTATTCATTTATGACAGCATGTGGTGTTTTTCGAACTTCGGACTTACTGTAACCTGTGGTATTGTTTGCAGTAGGGTTGTCACAATTGCGTTAATTTATCTTATGATACTATACCAGCTGAAATATACTTTATTTCATAACTCAATTAAGAAAATTGTCAGAAATTCTATATATTTTTATAATAATTCATAATACCTTGTTGAATTTAATTCATAATTTTATTTAGGGCCAAAAAATATTATTTGCACCTCACTTCACCTAAAATGTATTCATTCTATTTGCTTAATTTATAGATAACTGACAAACAAAAATACATCAAATCCTATTAACAGGAACAGAAATTAACAGATTTAGATGTGCGTTGGAATTGAAGCATTAGAAAACGTGCAATAGGTTACCATAAAAGGCTCAAATTCTACACAGTTTTGCAACCTTTAAAGGCTCCACAGACTATTAAATAAAATGATTTATTGTTGCACAAACGTGTGAGCATTTTAATGACTTTTCTACATGCAACATTATCTATTGTAGATAAACCATTAATGACAATACTACCATTTACAAACTACAGTGGCACCTCTAGTAGCCATAGTATCGTGATACTACCATAGCACTGGTAAACGGTGCAAACTCAGTTCGCAGTGATCCTTAATGTAACCAATAATATTGTTTAAACAGTAAAAACTCAGTAAAATGAGTCTTAAAAGTTACCATTGATGCAATATTATAATATTCTCTATACTGTATATGAGAGGTATTAGAGCTGGGCCAATAAACAATATTATATCAAATTGTGGTAAAATGTATGTCAATAACAATGATAAGCTCTGGACTTTTTTTACTCTATATTGATCTAGGAGCCAATCACACAGCAGAAGTGTGCGACAATGGGAATCTAGAAGTGTCTTAATATTGGAGATGTATCTGTCAAAAATATGTTATGCCATAAATGCACCCTCTAATTTTTCTGGGTTCAGTCATTGTTGGGAAACTCTTTTAAATCTGGAAGCATTAATAATTTGTATCAAAATATATATCGTTCTCATTCAATATGGAAAATAATCATCGAGATTGCATTTTTGTCATATCGCCCAGTGCTGGGAGGTATTGAAATTGCTTTTCAATATGTAATCTATTTTTAATTTTATTATTGAAAACACAGTCTGAAAAGTTTTAACTAAACAAAAAATGACTTTGCAGTGCCAGTTAGAGCTTGAAAACGTGACTTGTGTGTCTTAAATCGGGTTCTCAATCACATAAAAAATATTAGTTTTATTGATTAGATTTATTTTCTTCTACTTTTCATTAATATTATTGCGGACTGACAAGTTGGTTGTCCGTTGAAGAACTTTGCTAATAACAGCAGTAAGCTGTTAAGATTATTTTTAACTGATTCATAAACATGAATCAAAACTAGACTGCATCTTTGAAGCTGTTCCAATCAAACTCGTACTCAAGTGCTGTATATTTTTCTTTGATTTTGGAAACAGATGATTCAGATGGTTTTCATTTCCAAAGTTTCATTGTGGTAAGGGTGTATAAAGCTAAAGGTCTTGTAAAATTGTGGCATTTTTGGTAGACACAAACACTAGACATAGAGTGGAGAATTGTATTTTGATGGGGTAAGAAAGTTTTTTTTAGTATGAAAGTGATGAATATGTATGTGCATACCAGGCCTGGGTAACTGGGCTTTATGTAGAATATTATTAATAGTGAAGGTTTTCATGAATATTACAATAATAACCGATGCTGTAAATATAAGGCATGTTTTTATATAAATATGAGGCTTTCTGCAATCTGTGGTTGCTCAAAAAATGTCTTTGAGTTTGATTATACTGAAAGAGTTATAAACCTTTGACTGACCCCCCAGCTAATCTGTCAAATAGCTAGAAATATTGATATTAAAACAGTTGTAAGCCTTTTTCCATTCATCTTTACTGCATACCATTGTCTTTCTGACTAATTTTCTAAACAATTTGTTTACTTACATTGTGGAACTGTGACTTTTTGTGTTTTTTTCCTGAAATCTGAGGACTTTGTTGACTGTAACTTCCTCTTCCCTTTCCCTGTTTCTTTTGTATTTCCCTTTCTCAAGGAGAAATATGATTTTCCCACGTAAATATGCTAGAAGTCCTTCAGCAAATGAAGTTTTATAAACTAATTTCAAGACTAGATTGATCTCGGCTGGTCTCGTATCAACAATCATTGCTAGTCCAATCAGATATCATTGCTAGATGACAATACTTTTTGCAATACTATTTGTGTTCTTTTTTTTTCTGACAATGTAGCTATGTTTACTATGGTTCTGTTTACTTAGCACAACAGCACAGTAGTGCGGTGTATAGTGTTAAGCAGGAAAAACACCTGTACTGTATTTATTTATTAAAGATTTTGTTTATAATTTAAAATGTTGTGCAACAGTTTGTGCAGCTGTTATTTTTTGTGCAGATGTTTATTTGTAAACAGGGAGGGTAGCCCCTGTGTTTAAATTATATTTTGCTCAAATGTTTAATAATGTTTTTATAAAGGCTTTAGCTCTCGAGTAACCATTTGTGGGAAAATACCAGATATATTTCATATACCGTTATTTCTCCTAAAAATACTGGGATATTTTGCCATATCGCCCAGCCCTATATTACCCAGCCCTAATCGGTACCAGCTGGCTTATACCCAATCCAGCAAAAATATGTGGGATTGAACCGATATCCGATCCATTGGGATTGAAATGAAATTAGCAGCATCTTTTCAAAATTGTGGTCATGTGTTGACCTGCTGCACAAAGTACACTCTTATCTTGTTCCTAGAGCTCCTAGACGATCTTAGCTAGATCTGAGCCTCTATACAAAGTTTAGCATTTTAACCAACAGTACAACTACACAAAGCCTATTGCTGTTTTACCACATGTTTGAGAATAACAATTATAATAGCCCACTCATATTACCCTTTATTTTATATCTATAGAATCGTGAGAAAATCGTAATCTTTATTTTAGGGCAAAAAAAAAATTCCAATTCTCATTTTAGCCAGAATCGTGCAGCTCTACTTGTTCCCTTTTCTTTTGAATTTGTTTTCTTGCACAGAAACCAAGGTTGGATTTGGTCCAGAACTGTATTCAGTGTAAATAATGGGTGTTTACGTAATAGCACAACTTGTGACTTGTGTCAGTTAATTTGTTCATGTATTTTTGTGTTGCCTTTGAGTAGTTACGATTGACAAATGCTAATAAAAACATTTCTATTAATATTTGCATTGATGGACCTTCCTCAATTGAATATTTATGTAAAATGAATATGACATGCAAGCACAGATGAAACTGTGCCTTTGGTGTCTCTTTTCCCCACACAGTAATGCTCATTTTGAAACACTCGTTGCCTAGAGACCCAGATTCATGGAAACTGATATGAAAAGGTCATTCGAACCTGTGAGCAGTTAGTTGTTTCCCTTTACGCCATTGATGGAAAGAGGGTTGGTGGGTGTTAGAGGGAGAAACTCAACCTTCTGCTGCAGTGTCATTATGTTGGCCTGTCATTGACTGCTCAAGGCAGCCTGCTGTAGTCTAGGGGCAGAGGTCAAGTATGATGTCAGCCTGATGATGCAAGCCACTGCACAGAGTAGGATCAATGACCCGTCACAGGTTATTTACACGTACTGTAGTTCATGGACATCAGTGATGTCACACAACAAACTCAAGAAAACATTTGTAGGATTTTTTAAAGAGAAGGGCTTATTGCTAGATCTTTCTTAACGTTCATTGAAAACTTTTACAGTTTGTCATTTGTCAGAAACATTGGTCAGAAGTAATATGCAAAGTAATATAGAACATAACATGCATCTTGTTCTTGTGTTCACAGGTATGGCCTCACAAGTCTTGGTCTACCCACCACATGTTTTTCAAACTCAGACAAGTGCCTTTTGCAGTGTGAAGAAACTCAAAGTTGAGCCCAGGAACTGTGTTTACCATGAGAGGGCCTACCCACAGACTTACTTGAATGGTAGAACCCTTGGCATTGCTTACCCGACAAAACTTACTGCTTCATTCAAGACAAGAGATTCAGTAATTGGCATACACCGCGGGCAGGATTTCCCACTGCAGACGGCTGCTGTACAAGGTGTGCGACGTCAACACACCATCACAGTGGCACAGCAGCAAAAAAGAGGCGCCTCTTCTCAGGAAAAGGAGTCTGAGCACCAGGACAAAGGAAGGGTTTGCAGCAGTGGAGCTACAAGGGCAGCTGGAAGGGGAAGGGGAGTGGGAAGCGACAGTCAAGAAGAAGGAGGTGGAGGACAGGGTGGAGTTGACGAAGGAGGTGGAGGAGAGGACGAGGGTGACCAGGAAGACTGTGGAGGTTTTGACTTGAATGACAGCTCCCACAGATGTGGGCTGAAACGTAAGAGCGGGGAGCTTGAGAACTTGGGGAGCACCATGCAGATTGTTGAGGACCTGTCAATGTTACCCGCAATGTTGCAATCAAATGTGGGAAATCCACCTGTTGCGGTTCCACAGGCAGTTGGCGGAGGGCCTGCAAAGCAAGGTGGAGGTTCAGGAAATGGGGATGGAGATTACCAGTTGGTGCAGCATGAGATGCTTTGCTCGTTGAAGAACACCTATGAGGTATTAGACTTCCTTGGTCGTGGTACTTTCGGCCAGGTTGTAAAATGCTGGAAACGAGGCACCAAAGACATTGTGGCAGTGAAGATCCTGAAGAATCATCCATCATATGCACGGCAGGGGCAGATTGAGGTGGGCATCCTGGCCCGCCTGAGCAATGAGAATGCCGATGAGCATAATTTAGTGCGGGCTTTTGAGTGTTTCCAGCACCGGAGCCACACCTGCCTCGTGTTTGAGATGCTGGAGCAGAACTTGTATGACTTCCTCAAGCAAAATAAATTCAGCCCATTACCTCTGAAGGTGATTCGTCCCATTCTTCAGCAGGTGGCCACGGCACTAAAAAAGTTGAAGGGAATGGGACTGATCCACGCAGACCTGAAGCCTGAGAACATCATGCTGGTGGACCCTGTACGGCAGCCCTACCGTGTGAAAGTCATAGACTTTGGCTCAGCAAGTCACGTGTCCAAAGCAGTCTGCTCAACGTACCTCCAGTCACGGTACTACAGGTATGTACAAACCCCATGACGGCTGAAATGCAAAAGTGAAATTATGGAATTCAACAATGTCCATTGTTCAGTTATTTGCACTTTTTAATATTTTTGTCCAGTAGATACAACCAAGTTTAACAGAATTGTTTTATTTGTGTGGAAATTTCTGCAAAAAGTACTCTAAAGCACATTATTCTTTCTTACCATCAGATCGCTGAAAACATTCTAGAATTTTCCCTCTCTGTGTATGTTATACAACTAAAGTCCTTACGGAATTAGCAGTCAGGAAACGCCACTGATGTAAAACAATTTCCCTTGTGTTCTAAAGCTACCCTGACCCTCTAGAAGTATTTGACCCCACAATGCAACAGGCAAGGGCTAAACCATTCTTGTCACATTGCCATGGGAAAGGAAGTGATATTTTGAAGGCAAAAAGTAGGCCTACATTGTACAGTAGGGTGAAAACAAAGTTTGACAGTTAAGTTTTAAACCACATTTGCATATATAATCAAATAATAACGTTTGTACTCTGCAACAACAGTGTCAGCTTAAATGTAGATGTTGAAATAGTGGTTACACGTTTATCTTGTCATTCTTTTTTTTTTTTTTTGAGTTGAAAGAAAATGCCTTATGACATTTTAATGGATTTTTATAAATACATGTAGTCAAACAGTTAACCTTTTTAATGCTTATTTTTGTGATTATATTTGAATGTATACAAAACTGCTTGACTGTAATGATAACTGTAAACCTTTCTATTAAGTTAGAGTTAAGGTGTAGTCTTGTGACAAATAGATTTATAGTTTTGTTTGTTTCTTCATTCTATTTCATTGGCTCTCTTAACCTGTTTAGAAAGAAAGAAAGAAAGAAAGATAGAAAGAAAGAAAAAGAGAAAGAAAGAGAACAATGTTTGTGTCTATATTGGCTTCAGTTTTGAAGTATTGATTACCATGACCACGTTCTAACTTAAAATTAGACTTTACTAGTTTTGTTTTTCTGATTTGATTTTGTGTCAAAGAATATGCAGATTAATTTGGGCAAATTACAAATTGTCACATGATTCATTCATCACTAGAAAAAGGTCAGAAATTGCATTGTGATATTCATATTTCACGTAGTTTGCTCTAGTTGCATTACACATTTAGAGCCAGTTTAACTAAATGGTTGAACCAGCACAAACTCCTTTTAGGCATTGAAGTGCTGTCAGGATTTACTAAAGACATTCAAGGAAACATCAGTGATGAAAAGTTGTGGTGTGTGTGTGTGTGTGTGTGTGTGTGTGTGTGTGTGTGTGTGTGTGTGTGTGTGCGTGTGCGTGTGCGTGTGTGGCTTTATTGCATATTCTCTTGTAGTAGTTTCCTTCTCAGATGCAAACTTTCTGTTAGGAGAGTATTTGAATAATCATGCAAAATGAATTGCAAAAGCTGCTTTTTCATTGCACTGTAGGCTACGGTTTGCTTGCTTCTTTACAGTTTGTATTTCCTCTGCAGTTAAGTACCACTTAACTTGTGTGGGATTTTTACTAAAGTTGTGCCATCTCTATTGCCATGAGATTATCGTAAAAGTAACATATCACAAGATGCATGTTGAGTTTGTCTTGTAATTAATCGTTTGCATCTGTTTTCGATGCCTAGAATTGTATAATGAGTTTAAAAACATTCAGGCATAAGAAATTGTACCATTTGTGAATTTAATAACAATTAGTTTTAAAGAATTATTATTTTTTTTATCATTCAGTTACTGTGCTTGAGTACTGTTAGACTTGGAACATAAACACTTTATTTTTCTTGTATCTTTTTTTTATTGTATTTTTAGATCGTTATGCATGAATATGCTCAAAACATGTGCAAATACAGAAATGCACTGCAAATAGAACAGACCCCAACCAAAATGTGTCAGGGAAATGTATTGATTGTTTATTAGATTCTATGGAGATGCACTCCCATTGCAGAATCACCACAATTGGTCTAAAATTATCAATTCTTTCCAAATAGAGATATTAAGTCATCTGGTGAAATTGTATTCATATCACAATATATATCGTAAAATAAAATAAAAAAATATATCGTAATGCTAGTTTTCCCCAATATTGTGCACGTTTATTACATGGAGTTATTATTTAACTCATTTTGTGCTGCTTTTGTTGTTAATTGTCATCATCTTTGGCCTGTTTGCAACCAAATTTTCACTGGTTTATGGGCTGTAATACTTACTATAATAAATATCATTGTAGGTAGATCAGTCGCAAAACTTTTCACTCTTAGCTGTCATTTTGGAGTAGACTGCACTCTCATGCCAATTTGTTTGGTTGAATAAATCTGGCTCCAAGTTTGTGGAATTTTTGGAAGTATAAATTCTTTTTTACAAGCATTCTCAGTACAGGTATGGCAAGTAAATCTTACAGCATGCTCCTAAAGAGCTCCTCAAACTTTAATTAGCAAGTTCCAAGTAATGCTTGAAAAATACATTTCATTAGCTTGTGGTTCTGCCTGTGGCTTTAGAGCTGGTATAATCACATAGATGTAAGTAACTGATTCACTCAAGCTCCTGCTGTTGCCTGTCGAATTGCATCTTCAGTCATAATCTGACTTGGGCAGTTTACATCACCTGTACTTTGATAGCTGATGTTTTCTCAAGATCTCAGACAGATGATATGATAAACTTATGGACTGCTAGATCTAGTATAAAGCAAACCTTTATGATTGCATCCCACTCTGATATCTTGGTGTAGGTTATCAATCTTTGTAATTTTATTTGTTTGATCATCCATTTCATGGGCCATGGAAAAGTCATTAAGATTAATTGTGCAGAAGTATGAGAGAAATAAATCTGTAACTACCTAGTTAGGCCTACACTTAATGTTTATACTTTACAACTTCATGACCAGACTTGTAAAAACCCAAAAATGAAAATCCCTTCATGCCATTTCAAACCCCGGAGACGTTTGTTCAAAATCTGAAACAAATTAAAATATTTTAGATGAAATCCTTGAGCTCCATCATTCTCTATAGACGGCAATGGTCCAGAGACCATGAAAAGGAACCAAAAATATTGTCCAAACCTTTGACCTCAAATGTGACTTTAGTCTCTGGTTTCCCCTACAGTCCAAAGACCCATGGTAGAGGGGACTTGGATTAAGTGTAATTGTCTATAGTGTTGGAGAGATTGTGTGGTTTTCAGCATGTTCTAATGAATCGTGATATTCATGCTTAAATAGACGGGTGAACATTTTAAGTTTATTCGCTTCATTCTTGTGTCAAATTCACTTCATTCGCACGTAGGCATGGGCTGGTATAAGATTCTGACTGTATGATAACCTTGCATAAAAATATCATGATATTATAATTATTGCTCTAAATTATGTTGTTTTTAAATCTGTGGGCTAAAAACTAGGATTTTCCCCCCATTGTTCACAATATTTTTTTAATTTAAGAACCATTTAAAACTATTTTTGAACAGTAGCTTTTGATGTGGAGGGTCCTTTTCAGCTGGAAACGTTTACTGTTGCCCTAAAAAAAACTAAATAAAATAGTTGTAAAAATACACTTTAATAATAATAATAATAATAATAATAATAATAATAATAATAATAATAATAAAACCTTACATATACTGTAGGAATAGTATAACAGAAAGTTATACTAGAAAGTTCACTTCACAAAAGATGCAGAATCACATCATTGGCAGGGCTTCTGTCTGCCAGGTGTTTCTAGCTTCATTGCTAAATGTCTAACATGGATTTTATTGAGAGAATAGCTGTGTTTATGTGCTTTAGGAAGGCTGAAAAACAACATATGTTAGTTTGGTGCCTTGTCTGAGTCTACTAGATTCTTTTAGTGGTGCACCCAGCTCTGCGCATTCATCAACTCCTCCAGAAACTATAGCTGGATGATGGAGGCTTTCAGCGGTGCTTTTGACTGATTCGAGCCCAGTTTGATGAGCTGCTGTCCAGTGACGGCAAGAGGATTTCCCCTTGGCACACCAGCAACATGCACTACGTCATAATCGCACCCCATACAAAAGAATGACTTTTCGCTAAATTTTTGATTTTACAACTCGAGTGATTCACACATTAAGCACGTCAAACTCAACTCATGCTACTTCATTCACGCAAATTGAGCTGCAGGATGTCTATTCTCATCTTTGCATTGACTTAACATATAAATCACTTACGCTTGATGCTTCATTCACGTCTGGTGTAAACGCATCCTGAGGGTTGTACTCTTGAAGCTGGGTTGTGGCTTGAAGGGCATCCACTGTGTAAAACATATGCTAGTAATTACCAGTTCTTTTCGCTGTGGCGACCCCTGATAAAGCAAAAAATAACCTAAAAGAATGTGAGTAAATGTGACTTCAGTGGTTGAACTGTAATCAGGATTTTTGCAGCCGATAACAAGTACCGAATCCTTGTTATGGTGATCGGCCGATACGAGTACCGATTCTGACGCTTTAAGCTTTATAATGCATAACGCACATTTTTCCTGTTACTTAGCATGATACTTTAGTATAATACTTAAATGGAGATCTCTCCTTACCTCAGAGAACAAATTATGGACGTTGCATATACACCCTTAAACGTCTCTTATAGGAAAATAACACCGACAGATTTTGTTTTAGAAACCACCTCAGTGTTTCCCCTATTCCCTACCATTATATTAGGGGGGGGCACCCCACCCTCCCAACGGCTTTCCCCGCACCCCTTGATGTCAAGTTAATTGTCTTTTATATAGCAGCAGATCACAACTTTTTATGAACAAGCTAAATAGCCGTATGTAATATCCTATTTACACAACAGCATGCAATTTCTGTCTTTACATGGTCGCTGATAACATATTTCTGCTCTCTGAATTGCACATGGTGGAGTTCTACATAGCCACTTTCTGCTGTATGGGAATAGAGAGCATGCCACATCTGACAGGACCGAAGACTCACGTGCACTCCCCACGTATATTATGCATAGACTACAGCAGCCACCACACAGGTAAATGATGCGTGGGGGCCTGAGTGATCGATGCGTG